GAATATTGAATGAAAATAGTGAACGTCCTCTTCCAATATGAGAGTAACATGATAACAAAGGTATCCCAACTGTAGCTGAGTACATGACAGGATGTATGATTACCTAGAAGAGCATCAGGACTGTGTGAGGCATATGATAGCTATGTGATTAACATGATGATTCAGCCTCTATGGAGATAGACATATGACAAGCATGCTCATTTCTGACGTGGAGCTAATCTGCAGTAAACATTGAATACTGCTTTCTATTCCTCCATCTTGTGACTGTGTAACTCCCTCTCTTGGATATCAGCATGTGAAGGACACTGTTCAGGAACTAGTTGATGCTCTGTATGTGATGACTACTTCCATTCTGGAGAGGATCACAGATACATGGATCCTGAGATTGAAGCTCAAGCCGGTGACGAGTGATATTTTTCTAACAAATATAAACGATTGTGTGTGTGTGTGTAGGGAGCCAGGATGGTGCGTGAACTGTTTGAGATGGCCAGGACTAAGAAGGCCTGTCTGATCTTCTTCGATGAAATTGACGCCATTGGAGGTGAGGCTCTCAACTGTCCAAACGTTTTTATAGGAGAATTAATTTTACTGCACATTTTACATGTCAGTGTTGCAATCCTTTCCTAAAAGCTTAAACTGCTCTCACATCAGGGCAACACCAAAATATATATTTCAAAAGACTAAAGATTCTGATCTCAGAGTAGAGTGCCATATCATTTATAATAGTTTTTTAGTTTCTCCCTTTCTAAAACCCTGAACAGTTTCCACATATTTTACTTACACTACCTCATAGGTTCTAATTTCAATGTAGATATACCTTTTAAAAATTGCTATATACACACTTTTTTAATGTATAAAATACCCGTTCTATATGTTTCTGTAGTGGATTGGTCTATTATAGAGTTCCCTTTATCCTTTATATTTATATTATTATTGTGTATTGTTTAGATACTTTATATATTTCTTTTCTACTATAGGCGCGTTCACACCGGAGTACTTTAACCCGTACTTTTCCCGTTTAGTTCAGATAGTGCCTGGAATTTTGCGTTCACACCAAAAAGAGAACTTAGTTCATGAGAACTTTTACCCCCTTTTTAGTCCCTGCTAGAGAGGTGGGACTTTCCTGGGGAGAAAAAAGTACCAATTTCTGATTGGCTGGGCGGATTGCAAACCACGCCCCGTAAAACTCTGAAAATGTTTTGTGAAGCCGCCATTATATTTGCTGGCATTAGCATTATTAGCATTAGCATTAGCCCAGCGCACCAACGGAGAGAGAATAACTTGCAACACAAAAAAAAACATGGGAGCGGTGGAGATGAGGAGGTGTCGGCGTTCTGGCGATTTACTCTGAAGGCTTCAGTAGAAGCTGCTGGGAGTCCCAGCAGCTTCTACTGAAGCCAGTCCCCAACTCCGGGGACTTCCGGTGGCAGTATACGCCGTGAAGTTGTTTGCGGCTTGCCAGTAAACCCAAAACAGAAGAAGAAGAAGTGACGTCAGCGGCTTCATTTGCCTAATCTTCCCTCAGGGAACTTATTCCGGTGTGAACGCGATCTGGTCTTTAGCTCCATGGGGGAACTAAGTGCTGGGAACTAAGAGCTGGCACTAAGTACGGCAAAGTACTTGGTGTGAAAGCGGCTTATGGATATGTACATATTTACCATTTGTTTACTTTGTATTTGTATCTATTCATAAATATCTTTAATTAATTTGCTATGACTTCAAACAACGCTGCTGTGACTGATCAATGTCCCAATTTAGGATGAATAAACTACTGTACAAAGCATTTACATTTAATAAAAAAACAAACGTATCAACACAATCTTCCACATTAACCTGTAACCCCCCCCCCCTCTCTGCCAGGCGCTCGTTTTGACGACGGAGCCGGTGGAGACAACGAGGTCCAGAGGACGATGCTGGAGCTCATCAACCAGCTGGACGGCTTCGACCCGCGAGGAAACATCAAGGTTCTGATGGCCACCAACAGGCCGGACACCTTGGACCCGGCGCTGATGAGACCCGGACGTCTGGACCGGAAGATCGAGTTCAGCCTGCCGGACCTGGAGGTGAGTGCAGGCTCCACAGATACACTCTCATAAATCTGTACGACGTGATTAGTCCCAGTTTCATTAATAAACCCCAGAGAGGGCAGAAGTACACGCATCCTTTCCTCAAGTAGAAGTACAGATACTCGTGTTTAAAAATACTCTGGTGAAAGTAGAAGTACTGACTAAACTTCTTTACTCAAGTCAAAGTAAAGAGGGCTTTGAAATGTACTTCAGTAAAAAGTACCCATAACTAGCAGCTGTTTAAAGAGTACCTGACCTCCCTTTATATTAATAGAACAATAATGTCATTGTTAGCTAATGAATGTTTCCATGCTGAACAACGGCAACATGACAACGTTTTCATTGGTCCCTCTTCTTTAGAGAAGACCAGGAAATGATGGATACACGGATCGTGTTCAAATCAATAGGCACGCAATGACTCTAAATAATAATGATCACGCCACCAAACACACATTCAAACTAAAGGAACCAGCCTGTTTGGGAAATGTGAGAAGTAGAAAGTACAGGTATTTGGGTTCAACATGTAAGAAGTAGAAAGTACAGGTATTTGTGTTCAACATGTAAGAAGTAGAAAGTACAGGTATTTGTGTTCAACATGTAAGAAGTAGAAAGTACAGGTATTTGGGTTCAACATGTAAGAAGTAGAAAGTACAGGTATTTGTGTTCAACATGTAAGAAGTAGAAAGTACAGGTATTTGTGTTCAACATGTAAGAAGTAGAAAGTACAGGTATTTGTGTTCAACATGTAAGAAGTAGAAAGTACAGGTATTTGTGTTCAACATGTAAGAAGTAGAAAGTACAGGTATTTGTGTTCAACATGTAAGAAGTAGAAAGTACAGGTATTTGTGTTCAACATGTGAGAAGTAGAAAGTACAGGTATTTGTGTTCAAAAAGTAAGAAGTCAAAGTAAAAAGTCGTCAGAAAAATAAGTAGTGGAGTAAAGTACTGATACCAGAAACATGTACTTAAAGGGGACCTATCATGAAAAATACACTTTGTGATGTCTTCTATACATAAACATGTGTCCCCGGTGTGTCAGGGAACTCACGCAGCGTCAGAAAATAAAACCCTCTCTTTTCCTCCGTACCCAAATCTCTAAAAACGGGGCTACAACGGAGCTGATCCAGATTTGCGTCCGATATGACGTAATATCTGAAATGTGGACCCACGGCCCTATCAGAAACGTTGCTATCAGAAACAATGCCCGACTGTTTTGGACGTAATATGGTCGGTGTTTACATTAGCATCGCTAACACTCAGAGCTAACCTGTACTGGAGAGCATGTGTGTGAAGAAGCAGGAAATAAAAAGGAACTCACCTTGTGGTATAACCGGCAAGAGAGAAAGCCTTTGAGCTCCATACTGTTTCAGAGAGAATCCTTGATAATCCATGATATGGCGTTTCATCACGGCAGTATTTAGTTTAGACAGTAGCTGCCGGGTCCCGCATGAGCTCAGACCCCTCCTTTTGTATTTTGTATCAATTCTTCTTTTTTTTTTAAAGCTTTATACCCCAAATCAGCACTTTTGAAACAGGAAGTGAAATAGAGGGATATGAGGCATGGCTAGAATGGGTGATCTGTTTGGTATTTTGAGCAAAACACTTAATAGACATGTTTTTTTTATATATCTGAGACCTATGCTATTGCCTAAAAATAGCATGATAGGTGACCTTTAAGTAGAATAACAAAGTATTTGTACTGCACTACTTCCCACCTCTGCTAAACCCCAATCCTCACCTCTGTTTGTTTTTACATTTCAGGGTCGCACACACATCTTCAAGATCCACGCTCGCTCTATGAGTGTGGAGAGAGACATTCGCTTCGAGCTGCTCGCCCGCCTCTGTCCCAACAGCACCGGTAAGACTCACAGCAACTAACCAACATCTGTTCTCTCAATTCTCTCCTATAAAAGACCCCTCACACTATATATCCCGTCCCCAACTTCTTCCTGTACCTCTGTTTACGTTAGTTTCTCCTCACTTCCTGTTCTGAGAATCACTGAAATGTGTTAAATGGTAAAATGTGCTACTTTTGATGTGGGTCTGCTATCAGTGTTGAAGCTTAATGTAGCCAATTGAAGATATAAATTACTCGGTGTGCTATATTGATGCAGAAAACACATGAACACAAGGTCCCTTTCTCACATTTAGTTGCTTATTTAGCTGGTTTTGAATAAGGACTACTAGTTACTAATACTATATGATGTGTGGCCACAAGGGGGCACTGTAACATAATTGTGTCACTGTCCAATGAAAATAGTAAAAGGTGTATATAATGGGTACGGAAGTACTATTATTGACAGCTTACAAACATATTTTCATGACTTTTCCTGCTTAGATTATCGCAATTTAACTCTATCTAATTGTAAGTGCATAATAAAAATCACTTGCATCCAAATAACTTAAATCTTCTAAACTCAATTGTTGAAAGACCTTTTTTGACATCAAAACCTTGTTCTAAAGATCTTAATGTGGACCTGCAGGTGTTACGTAATGCAGAGTAAAGGCATTGTGTGTGTGTTGGTCAAATGAAGTATGCAGGCTAATATATAGACCAATCAGACGGTTGCAAAAGGTGTCTCTTATCTTTATAATGTCTCCTCAAAGGTAATGCAGCTAAAATGACAGCCTGAACTTGTACACTTCATCTTGATTGTCCTGGCGGTTGTTGTGTCAGCAGTGTCTGATGTGGTGTGTGTGTTGTTTCCAGGCGCTGAGATCCGCAGTGTGTGCACGGAGGCCGGCATGTTCGCCATCAGAGCCCGCAGGAAGATCGCCACGGAGAAAGACTTCCTGGAGGCCGTCAACAAGGTCATCAAGTCCTACGCCAAGTTCAGCGCCACCCCCAGATACATGACCTACAACTAAGTGTGTGTGTGTGTGTCGCTGGCTTTTTACTGTCAAAAGAAGCTGTCCTTTCTGTTCTCATTCTTGTTCACTTCAAAATAAAGTTTATTCCAGAATTGAGTGTACGTGACATGTTTACAAAATAACCACATGATGGTAACATTTAAGGCATCCTGTATCCTTTAAATAACAACGCACAATACTACTTAACAAACATGATAGTGTTTTTGCTGGTTTAAATATGACACAATACAGCATTTAAATACTCGTAAATCTATCAAAACACAACTTCTCAGTAACATTTGATACCAGCAGGATGAGGCAGTTTCCATCACTAGAACAAGGTCTTATGGCAGCAGCGGCTTACTCTCCCAAAGACTTCTTAAACAATCCCAGAGAGGAATAAGGCTGGAGGAATGTCAGCTGGAAACTACTTTCCTGATTGGCTAAAAGCAGAACGTTGCTCTATGCAGCATAAAGTCAGACTAAAGTGCTTCATCAGATGGCAAAACATCCACCTTGGCTATCAGCGGTTTCTCCCAATGCTAGCTGGGTACAGTATCTGCCGTCACTCGACGTGGATCTGAGGTGTTTTAGCTTTGGTCGGAGCAAACGCTGGATGTGAGCGTTGGCAGCTCAGCGCAGCGTCGTGGACGGTGGGAAACACCATCTCTGGAGTCATGACCCCCGAGAAAAACTGTAAGGAGTCCAGGTCAGACAGGAGGTTCCCTGTGAGATCAAAGCAGAGAGAGAGAGGTCACAATGTGTTCTCATATCACTGTGTTTTAATAATAATAATAACACATTTTATTTTTAGGCGCCTTTCATGACACCCAAGGACACCGTACAATTCGTTAAAAAATAAATAAAACGCTAATAGGCAACAAAACATGATAAAAACACAAACAGGAAATCATGGAGGAGACAGTCAAGTGGACACAAATGAAACATATAATAGGGAGGACTACAGTCAGTAGGCAGATCTGAACAGGTGGGTTTTTAATTGGGATTTGAATGTGGTGATTGTGTCTGACTGTCGGATGTGCGGGGGGAGGGAGTTCCAGAGTCTGGGAGCAGTGCAGCTAAAAGCCAGAGGCGTGGGGTGGGGACGGTTAGCAGACCAGCAGAGGAGGGAGCGAGAGGGGGTGTACTCCTGAAGGTCAGCCAGATAGGGGGGGGGCCAGGTTATGTAGGGCTTTGTAAGTGAGCAGTAGGTTTTTGAAGTTGATGCGGGATTGAACAGGGAGCCAGTGGAGTTGGATGAGGATGGGGGTGATGTGTTCTGAGGCCTTGGTGCCGGTATTTAAGTATTTACATATATGTTTGTGCTCTACCATTAAAAAGGAATACTTCACCCTCAAAACGATCATTTTTATATCAATTATTTGCACCGTTTTGCCTCCACAGTGAATAGGGAATCTAAAAACAGTCTTAATGAATTGAAGTAAACGGGATTAACTATATCAAAACATCAGCGTACAAACTCTCACACAACTCGTGAAGAATGAGCAAGTCTCAACTATACTCACTACTTTACAAACACAAACTCACACACATGAGAACAAGCCTGAAGCTGTGTGTGGGATTGCATTCAAATAGAAGCTCAATAGGAAGTAGATTTTTCACATAACAGGAACTTGCCTTGGCATTGGTGCATATTACAACATATATAAGGAAACTAAATTACAGGTGATGTTTTTATTGCTGTGGTTAAACACCGCCTCATTGATTCTTTGATTCTTTATTTACCATCCAGGGCATGCAAGACAAGCTAAGTTTTCCTTAAGATCTTTTGGGAGGAGTAACGGGTATATAAAGGACTATTTTATGGGTGAATCACAGCCTGACAGATACAAACAAATACAGAGAAAAGTCATGAGGAGGACTTACGGCTGCAGCCGGCGATGACCACCTGAACGTCCACAGCTGCATATTCCAGAATAACCTGCAGAGACAAACACTCAGTTACTCCCTGAGGGGAAATACTGAATACTACAAGCGCAAACCAGGATACAACTCCAGAGCTTTTACGTCTACACCTCCCTCCTCTTGGTGTCCCGATTACAAACTCATATTGTAAGGCTAAGGTCACATAACAAGAAAACATGTGGTCCTAAATCCAATACATGCTGTGATCTATGTCAAATCAGTGTGTTTTTCCACCTCATACTAAACATTTGGATCATTCCCCATACTGCTATTGCCAGGAGGCTTCTTAAATGCAATGATACACAGTGTATATACAGGAAAAGACAAGGTAACTATATCAACAATTACATTAATGGACAAAAACCAAGCAGTAGGAAATATACACATGCATTAAGAGTGCATTGAATGCATTCCTCGAGCAACCAAATACATCACTCCCAGTACTGATGAGGCTACTAGAATCATATGGTCATCTCTCAGGATATAAGATGAATGTCTCAAAAACACAGGGACTTGCTCTTAACTACACTCCATCAACAGAGATCAAAGAATTGTTTCATTTGAATTGGAATCTAAAGAAAATCAAATATGTGGGGATTTACATCACTAAAAGGAACATCTGAATTATTCAAAGCAAATTATGGCAAGATCATTGAGGAGATTCAAAAAGATATAGACAGATGGTCTACTCCACCACTGGATTTTAGTTCAAGGATTGAGACAGTCAGGATGAATATATTACCCAAGCTGCTATACCTATTCCAGTCCCTACCAATGAAGGTTGCTCAAACTCAATTCACAAATTGGGATAGGATAATATCTAGGTTTATTTGGGGAGGTATAAAGCCCTCCGACTCCCAAAGGGTAAAGGGGGTAATCTGAAAGAATACTTCTATGCTGCCCAGTTGAGATACATGGGCCGTTTCTCAATCGCGAGTAAAGCTGCTTCAGAGCCACTATTTCAAGCATACTACGTCATCGAGTGCCGCCGAAGTACTGTTCCAATCTCCAGCATACTTGGAAATCTACCGAGCCCGGCGTACTCCGGGTGTTTCTCAATCGCGAGTACGCTTGCTTGGTAGCACATGTCTGCCGAGCATCTTGCTTCAGAAGCGAGTCAAGAATACTTCCTGACATTCAGAAAACAAAGTGTGGAACAGGCTAGCAAGTGTGCAGGTGTGCGTCATATGAGAGGCCCCGCCTTACATCTTCCGCCACAGATTTGGGGAAATTGGTCCTTGCGCAAAGCATTGTGGGGATTTTAAGACCGCGAAGTCTACTCATGTGCAGCCTCGATATTTCTCCAAACGGAGTACGCCGGGCTCGGTAGATTTCCAAGTATGCTGGAGATTGGAACAGTACTTCGGTGGCACTAGATGACGTAGTATGCTTGAAATAGTGGCTCTGAAGCAGCTTTACTCGACATTGAGAAACACCCTCCGTTTGGAGAAATATTGAGGCTGCACATGAGTAGACTCCGCGGTCTTAAAATCCCCACAATGCTTTGCGCACGGACCAATTTCCCCAAATCTGTGGCGGAAGATGTAAGGCGGGGCCTCTCATATGACGCACACCTGCACACTTGCTAGCCTGTTCCACTCTTTGTTTTCCGAATGTCAGGAAGTATTCTTGACTCGCTTCTGAAGCAAGATGCTCGGCAGACATGTGCTACCAAGCAAGCGTACTCGCGATTGAGAAACACCCAGAGTTTGCTGGTGTAAACCAGATTATACAGCTAAGTGGAAAGAGCATTTGGAGAATACCCTATTCAGAGTATTATAGGAGATAAGGACACATACAAACAAATAAAAAATCATATTAAATTACATTATTCACACTGGAGTTATGGTTTAAAATAGTAAAAATTCACAAAATACAAGAAGACATAAATATACTGAAATGGGTAGCATTTGACAGTAACTTTGTACCAGCAAGTCAAGATGAAGGTTTCAACCGGTGGGTGACCAAGGGAATCACAGCATGGTGCACTTTGGAGAAGAAAGGGGAACTAGAGAGTTTTCAGGATATGAAAGTTAAATACGATTTAGGGAAACATGACTTCTATAGAAATCTACAACTAAGGGATTATGATAGAAGACACATCAGGGGAACACCCTCCAAGGACGTGAATGAAGTGATTCAGACTATAATCAATTCGTATGGAGGAAAACAAATTAGGACTAATCTGTACTATATCAAGCACTAACAATGAACACATATTCAACCACGTATATAAAAGAAAAATGGGAATCAGAATTTAACACGAAAATTGAAAATAATGAATGGCATGTGGAGAATACACCAATCATCCACCAGTTCGCGGGTATGGAGGGAGTTCTGATCCGTTTTTTTATAACACCCAAGGTTAACAACAGATACTCAAATGTAAAGTTACCATGCTGGAGGGAATGTGGAACAGCAGGAGCAGATCATCCACATGTATTTTGGAAATGTCACAAAATAACAACGTTTTGGGGAATGGTTCGTAAAGTAGTACAAAAGATAATCGGATATGATTTCCCCAGGAGTTTTATGATTCTTTATTTGGGTAATTTTACGGAAAATGATATACAACCAAGAGAGAAAGTGTTGTTGAAGAAAGCCATCACAAGGAAATGGGGGCAAGTGGATATCCCTACCCAAGGGCAATGGATGGAGATAGTAGAGGAAATCTACATAATGGAAAAACTGACACATCGGTTGAGACTAAGTCTACCAAAAATGGAAGACCAGTGGAAAGGATGGACATTATATAGAGAAGAAGACAAACACATTGGACAAGATAATCCAGGAAACCATTGAGATTTAAACTCCCGACAAGGGCTCTTTTGGACAGTCGCTTTTTATTTTTCATTTTTATTTCATTTTTGAGTTGCCCGTTGCGCCTTAACATGTGGATGCGAATTAAAATTGTATTTCTGTATGTCAAAGTGATATGACAGTATGTACGTTTGGAATTCAGTGCAATTATTAGTAATACAAAAGTGTGCATTGAATGAGATGTACAATATATTTTGCACGCGGGTTGGATTTCATACGTGACGTTTCTTGTTGTGGTAAGTATTGGTTGCTAAGGACCAGTGTTGGGGTAGTTACTCCAAAAAAGTGATGCGTTACATGTTACTAGTTACTTTAGAAAATGCAATCCCTTACTTTACTTAGTTACTCACTGCTGAAAGTAACTAACTAGTCACAATACCTTTGGATTACTCTGTAACGTCACCTGAAAAACGGACGTTAGATTTATTTTTCTATCTTCCCGTTATGCAGATAGTGATAGTCGAAGACCGTCAAAGTAACGAGCTAATTTCGTGCTTGGGAACTGTAATGGGAATACTGCTGAAGCAACAATAACGCGTTACACTACTGCGTACAGACAAAAGTAATCTGATTACTGTAACGCCTTACTTTGAAGTGCGCCCCTCCCAACACAGTTTAGGACAGTAATCCGTCCACACACATGTCAGATATTGAGCCCTGTGAACATAGCCAGAGAAACCCTGTAGTCGTGGTGATGTGATGTTGAACACGGCCTGTTTCACTGACCTGTTTGATGGCTTTAGCTCCCACTGAGTCGATGAAGCTGCCGGGCGTCCAGTCCAAAATGATGGAGTGAACGTCGCTGAGAGGATGGAGGAAGACGGCTTCTTCCTCTGAGAGCGTCTCGCTGTCTCCGTCCCCCAGCTGGCCGTTGCTCTGCTCCTCAGACACGTGGTTATAGGACAAAACCTCATGGGTCACGCCCCGCTCCTTATCCTGGAACCAATCAGAGAACAGGGATTCAATAGGAAGAAGTCAACAAGCAAACAGGGACCTTATTTAGCCTTGTTGGGGGTGTCTCCCTTCCCTGTAGTGTTTTCTATAGGTTTTGTGTGCATGTAAATGGTCGGCAAAGGCTAAAATCCCAAAGTTCCGGAACACAGTGACATCACTACAGAACACTCGCGCTTCTATTGGCTAGCGCTCCAACACATTGTACGTGATTTTGGCTAAAGGGGCGGGACATCTCTAAGCAGGTTGACCAATCACAACAGAGCCGGCCAGCTAACCAATCAGAGCAGACTGGGCTCTGGTTTCAGACAGAGGGTGAAAAGAGGTGCTGCAGCACAGGCAGTATGAGAACAATAAAGAGCTTTTTGAACATTAAAGCATGGAGACATGTAGAGACACTACATACTGATATACACCTGAACATCAGCAGGAGAGAACTCTTTAAAGTAGAGACACTACATACTGATATACACCCTGAACATCAGCAGGAGAGGAACTCTTTAAAGTAGAGACACTACATACTGATATACACCTGAACATCAACAGGAGAGGACTCTTTAAAGTAGAGACCTACATACTGATATACACCTGAACATCAGCAGGAGAGAACTCTTTAAAGTAGAGACACTACATACTGATATACACCTGAACATCAGCAGGAGAGGACTCTTTAAAGTAGAGACACTACATACTGATATACACCTGAACATCAGCAGGAGAGAACTCTTTAAAGTAGAGACACTACATACTGATATACACCTGAACATCAACAGGAGAGGACTCTTTAAAGTAGAGACACTACATACTGATATACACCTGAACATCAGCAGGAGAGGACTCTTTAAAGTAGAGACACTACATACTGATATACACCTGAACATCAGCAGGAGAGGACTCTTTAAAGTAGAGACACTACATACTGATATACACCTGACATCAGCAGGAGAGGACTCACTAACATACTGATTACACCTGATCAGCAGGAGGATGACTCTTTAAAGTACGAGACAAACATACATATACTGATATACACCTGGACATCAGCAAGAGAGGACTCTTTAAAGTAGAAGACACTATCTATCTTGATATCCACCTCGAACACAGCAGGAAGAGGACTCTTTAAAGTAGAGACACTATACTTGGATATACACCTGAACATCAGCAGGAGGAGGCACTCTTTAAATTAGAGACACTACATACTGATATACACCTGAACATCAGCAGGACGAGGACCTCTTAAAGTAGAGGACACTACATACTGATATACACCTGAACATCAGCAGGAGAGGACTCTTTAAAGTAGAGACACTACATACTGATATACACCTGACTCAGCAGGAGAGGAACTCTTTAAAGTAGAGACACTACATACTGATATACACCTGAACTACAGCAGGAGAGGAACCTCTTTAAAGGTAGAGACACTACATACTGATATACACCTGAACATCAGCAGGGAGGAGGACTCTTTAAAGTAGAGACACTACATACTGATATACACCTGAACATCAGCAGGAGAGGACTCTTTAAAGTAGAGACACTACATACTGATATACACCTGAACATCAGCAGGAGAGGACTCTTTAAAGTAGAGACACTACATACATACTACTGACTGTGCACATATGCAACAACCAATCAGTGAGAAAAGAGAGGAACTGACCGTGCAGCTGGTCTTCAGTGAAGAGTTGTGGTTGCCGTTCCCCTTCTCCTTCTGCTTCTGCTTCCTCTGGGCTTTCCGTGCAGCTTGAAGGGCCTCAGGGTTTACTCCCGTCTGTAACACATCATCAGTAGATACTAGTACTAGAATAGAGCTGCAAAAACTCTTTAAAATGTTAACTTTGCTGTGATTAACCTTCATTATATTCATGCCATGTGAACTAGCTT